TATTTCAAACTAATCTACGAGAGAAATGTCGCGAAAGAAACAAAAATGTGCATTGAGTAATATGAATGAAATCCGTCGCCATCAGAGCTCAGTGGCAGAGCAGTGGTCTTGTATAGCAGGGGTTGAGAGTTTCATCCTCACTGGTGGCTTTAGAAATATTTCATCAAGCATGGTGTTGTTTATAATCAAAATCCGAGTGCTGCGTATTTTTCTTTTCATAGTGCATTCGATCGTTCTCGAATAATCCGTGTTAATTTCATTCCTAGAGGAATGTCATTTTTGGAAGAGAAATGTGTGTCATATTTCAAACTAATCTACGAGAGAAATGTCGCGAAAGAAACAAAAATGTGCAATGAGTAATATGAACGATGTCCGTCGCCATCATAGCTCAGTGACAGAGAACTGGTCCTGTAAACCAGGGGTCGTGAGTTCGATCCTCACTAGTTGCTCTACAAATACTTGATCAAGCATGGAGTTGTTTTTAATCGAAAGACGCGTGCTACATATTTTTCTTTTTATAGTGCATTCGATCGTTCTCGATTATTCCGGGATATTTTCATTACGAGGGGAATGTATTTTTTCTTGGTAGAGAAAAGTTTCTCATTATTTCAAACTAACCTACGAGAGAAATGTCACGAAAGGAACAAAAACGTGGATTGAGTAATATTAAGGAAATTCGTCGCCGACATATTTCAGTGGCACAGCACTGGTTTTGTAAACCAAGGATCGTGAGTTCGATCCTCACTGGCGGCTTTAAAAATATTTCATCAATCATGGTGTTGCTTCTAATCAAAAGACGCGTTCTGCATATTTTTCTTTTCATAGTGCATTCAATCCTTCTAGATTAAACCAGCATATTTTTATTACCAGTGGAATGCACTTTCTTTTGGAAGAGGAAAGTGTGTCATTATTTCAAACTAATGTACGATAGAAATGACGCAAAAGAAACAAAAATGTGCATTCAGTAATATGAATGAAATCCGTCGCCGTCATAGATCAGTGGCAGAGCGCTGGTTTTGTAAACCAGGGGTCGTGAGTTCGATCTTCACAGGTGGTTTTACAAATATTTCGTCAAGAATGGTGTTGTCTCTAATCAAATGACGCTTTATACGTTTTTTTTCTTTTTATAGTGCATTCGATCGTTCTCTATTAATCAGGGATGTTTTCATTACGAGGGGAATGCATTTTTTCTTGGAAGAGAAAAGTGTCTCATTATTTCAAACTAACCTACGAGAGAAATGTCGCGAAAGAAACAAAAATGTGCATTGAGTAAAATGAACGAAATCCGTCACCGTTATAGTTCATTTTCACAACACTGATCTTGTAAATCAGGGATCGTGAGTTCGACCCTCACAGGTGGCTTTACAAATACTTGATCAAGACTGGAGTTGTTTTCAATCGAAAGACGCGTGCTGCATATTTTCTTTTTATAGTGCATTACATCGCTCTCGAATGATCCGTGGTAATTTCATTCCGAGAGGAAACCCTTTTTTTTCGAAGAGGAAAGTGTGTCATTATATTTCAAACTATTCTAGGATAAAAATGTCGCAAAAGAATTAAGAATGTGCATTGAGTAATATGAATGAAATCCGTCGCCATCATTGCTTAGTGGCAAAGCACTGGTATTGTAAACACCAGGGGTCGTGATTGTGATCCTCACTGGTGGCTTTGCGAATATTTGCTCAAGATGTTTGTTGTTTCTAATCAAAAGGCGCATGCAGATTATTTTTCTTTTTTAAGTGCATTCGATCGTTCTCGATTGATCCGGGATATTTTCATCCTGAAGATGAATGTCATTTTAGGAAAAGAAAAGTGTCTTATTATTCCAAAGTAATCTACGGGAGAAATGTCGCGAAAGAGACAAAAATATGCATTGAGTAATATGAATAAAAACCGTATCCATCGTATCTCTGTGGAAGAGACTGGTCTTGTAAACAAGTGGTCGTGCGTTCTATCCTCACTGGTGGCGTTGCGAATATTTGCTCAAGCAACGTGTTGTTTCTAATTAAAAGACGCATGCAGATTATTTTTCTTTTTTAAATGCATTCAATACTTCTCGTTTGAACCGGGATATTTTTTCCCGAAGAGGAATTTTATTTTTGGAAGAGAAAAGTGTCTACTAGTACTAGTGCATTTAGTAAAATGAACGAAATACATCGCCATGATTGTTCAGTTGCTCTGCGCTGTTCTTATGTTCTTGTAAACCAGGGGTCGTGAGTTCGATCTTCACTTGTGGCTTTCCGAATACTTGCTAGATTAAGTTGTTGCTTCAAATGAAAAGATGCATGTTTTTCTTTTTATATTACATTTGATGTATACAGGAGATTTTGATCCTCAGAGAAATGCCATTTTTTGAAGAGAAAATTGTCTTATTATTTTAAACTTTCATACGAGATCAATGTCGTTGAAAAAACGAAAATGGGCATTGAATAATATCAATGATATATATCCGTTGCTATCATACCTCAGTTGCAGAGCACTGGTCTTGTAAACCAGCTGTCATGAGTTCGATTCTCACTTTGTGCTTTGCTAATATTTGCTACAGCAGGTTGTTGTTTTCAATGAAAGGACTCATGCCGCATATTCTCTTTTTATAGTACATTCTATGTTTCTCGGTGTATCCGGGATATTTTGATCCTGAAGAGAAAGGCCCTTTTTTGAAGAGAAATGTGTCTTATTATTTCAAACTATCATACGAGATCAATGCCACGGTAGAAACGAAAATTTGCATTGAGTAGTATGAATGAAATCCGTTATCATCATAGCTCTGTGGCAGAGCACTTGTCTGTTAAGCCATGGATCGCGAGTTGGATAATCACTGGTGGCTTTGGGAATGCTTACTCAAGCAGGGTGCTCTTTCTAATTAAAAGAATGATGATACTTATTTTTCGTTTTGTGGTGCATTCGTATCATCTGGATGTATCGGGAATATTTTGAAACTGAAGAGTAATGGCATTTCTTTGTAAGAAATGTGTCTCATTATTTCAGCCCTATGTACGAGAGCACTGTCTTGGAAGAAACAAAAATGTGCATTGAGTAATATGAATGATATTCGTTGCCTTCATTGCTTAGTGGCAGAGCACTGGTCTTTTAAGCCAGGGTTCGTGAGTTTGATCCTAACTGGTGGCTTTGCGAATGATTACTCAAGCAGGTCGTTCTTTCTAAATAAAAGTCGCATGTCTTTTATTTCTCGTTTTGTGGTACATTCTTAACTCTTAGAAACAGACAGAGAAAAGGAACCTTTAACACAGGACTTGTAACGCTCGATTTTGTTGGAGGCATTTAATACTGTAATCTGCAAACTATGTGGGTTACTTATATATATATATATAGTATAGGCTAAAAACAATTTTTATTGTAAGCAATATATTTAAAAGACAATGCATGTATTTTCTACCATTTTATAATAGTCAATATATAAATAAATACAAAACACAATTTTCTTCTTTTATCATTATTATAATATATCGTCGGCATAATTATCAGACTGCGTAACTCTACTAGTGTTAAGACGCATTCACACCAAGGCGTACAAACGTCGTGTGTTAAGTGTCTAGCCAATCAGTCTTCCTCTCGCCCGAGAAGAAGTCTCTGATTGGCTATAGACGCTTAACACTCGACGTTTGTTCGCCTTGGTGTGAATGAGCCTTTACTGATTTGATATGGGGGTGCAAGGCCCCAAGCGCTTTTTGGTACGATTCCTTAATCTTTTTGTTTTGTGTACGCATGCCTCAGCTCCGC